GCAGCTGAAGCATTGAAGGATTCGAAATGGGTGAAAACGATGAATAAAGAAGTGAAGTCCATCGAAGACAACAAAACCTGGTCACTTGTCGAATTTCATCAAGGCAAGAAGGAAATTAATATAAAGTGGGTATACAAGGTGAAGTTGAATCCTAGAGGAGAAGTAACTCGACACAAAGAAAGGCTTGTGGAGAAAGGATTTCTTTATAAAGAAGGAATCGACATCGATGAGGTTTTTGCACTTATGGCAAGAATCGAAACAATCAGGTTAATTGTTGGTCTAGAAGAAATAAACAGTTTGCACATATGTTAGATGGATGTGATGTGTGAATTCTTGAATGACCCTTAGACAGAGAATTTTATGTTGCACAACCATTTGGGTTTGTGAAGCATGGCAAAGAGAGAAAGGTGTACAGGCTGCATAAAGTCATCTATGGATTGAAACAAGCTCCAAGAGCTTGGAATAAGAAGATTGATAGTTACCTAAGGGAAAAGGAATTTTTGAATTGCACAACTGAACATGGAGTATATGTAAGAAGAAGCAATAGTGAATTTCTTAGACTATGTCTCTATGTTGATGACTTCTTAATAATAGATAGCTACAAGAATGAGATCAAAAACTTCAAAGGTGATCTCAGCAAGGAATTCGAAATGCTGGATTTGGGTGACATTTCATATTTCCTTGGCATCGAATTCTATAAGAGTAGTAGAGGTTTGACGATGCATCAAAGAAGATATACAAGTAAAAATCTTAAGAGATTTGAGATGAAATAGCGCAGCTCGACTTTGACACCTGCTAGACCTAGGTTGAAACTGTCAAAAGATTCAGAAGATGATGATGTCGACCCAACCTATTATAGAAGACATATTGGGTTATTACGACACCTTTGTCATGCGAGGCCTGACTTAGCATACAATGTAGGTATGGTGAGTAGATTCATGCAGAAGCCAAAGATATCAAATCTAGTAGTGGCGAAGAGGATACTAAGGTATCTGAAAGGAACTCTCAACTATGGAATTTTATTTCCTACAGTCGATAAAGGAAAATAATTCAAGTTAGTGGGATACATCAATTCAAGTTGGTGTAGTGACATTGAGGATCAAAAATCCACAGTAGGATGTATGTTTATGCTAGGTGGTGCATCAGTTGCTTGGAGTTCGAGAAAGGAACCAGTAGTGTCATTATCATCGTGTGAAGCAGAGTACATAATTGATTCCCTTTGTGCATCTCAAGCAATATAGAAGGTGAACTTGGTCGAAGAAATCACAGGGAAAGATCATGGGGCAATTACCATGAAGATCGACAACATGACAACTATCAATCTGGCGAAGAACCTGATAGAACATGGTCGAAGCAAGTACATCATAATGACGTTCCACTATCTTCAAGAGCAGGTAGAAGATGGGAAGATAAACTTGGAACACTGCATAACTGAAAACCAGAATGCATACATCATGACAAAAGGAGTGCAAGTCAAAGTGTTCAGAAGACTAAGAGCTATGATGAATGTAGATAGCTTAGACACAATGAATTAGGTGGTGTGTTGAAAGTGTAATTCCTTGTGTGTAAGCAGGTTGTTGCTCGACATAAGGTGTGTCGAAAAGTTTAGTATGTCGAGTTGTATGTAGTTGTCAAAGTGTCGAAGCAGATTACTTTCTATAGTATTTTGATTTAGGTCAAAAATAGGTATTTTGGGCTTTTATAATTTTGTGCTTTTGACTTAGGGAGAAAGAAAGCTCATTATAAATAGAGGGAGTACCCTCTATTTTTGTAACCAACTCATATTGAGTATTCACATAATTTTGTAGTTACAAAATGAATAAAGATCTTCCACAGTTTATGGGGAGAGAGTTACTCTGCAGAAACCTAAATCTTTTTTCTTCTTTAATTTTCTTTTCTTTCATTGTCATTGTGTGGGGATAATAACCTTGTTCATCAAGATTGAGATAAATTCTCCATAATTCTTGATGGATTTCCAATATTTTAGACTCTAATTTAGTATCAATAGAAAATAAAAGCCAATTACCATTTTTTTTAATATAGTGGTGCCAAATTTAGCGGCAATAAATTAAAAGCACTATTTAACGTCCACTTTTAGATTAATATTTACCTTCTAAAATTCTATTTTAGTAAATGCAAATTAGTTTCAACATGAATCCTTATGTTTAAGTTCAAGGTTTTATTATCAACGATAGATTGGATGCTCACTATAAAAAAACATCATTTTAGCTCCAAACATTTAGTGTTTGCCCCGATTCGGATACTAATAGCGTCATATTTGTGTCATTAAAGGTGGATGCTAACAAATTTATTCATTTAATTTTTTATTTTAAATGTCTTTAACACTTCTGTCGGCCTTGATCGACGCTACTGTATAATTTCTTATTTATTTAATTTAGGATTGACTGTAGTCGACACTAACGGGTAGTTTTGATGACTTGGGTATTTCTCTTTTCTGTTAGATCTGTTGTGATTTAGAAGATGAAGATTAATCCACATGATTGTTTCTGTTGAAACAAGTGAAACAATGAGATATGTGTTGAATTTAGACTTGTTCAATAGTGTTGAAGGAAGGTGTGTAGTACATATTAGACACCACTTGATGAATTAGATCTATAGTATATATTTGGTCACATAGGAATGATCTATGCCACTATATTATGTCTATGTAGAGTTGTAACACCATGAGACCCGATATACATTCTGCATCTACAAAATATACTTTAAGTTCATGTTTAACCTTTAACACAACTTTCTGAATTTTGAAGAGTAAATTGTATTAATTTCATTCTTTCTATGTATAGGATTTTACACACATTTAGTGTATAAAAATTAATTGTATGGTAATATCAAAATAAGCACCGCATATTATCCTAGGTGTGTATTGTACTGTTAAATTGTCATTTCAGCTCACACTTTCCTGGCAAAAATCGTCCCTATTCTAGGAGTAGGGGTTTATATTGTCCTGCTATGCCATCCTATATGTATTTTTATTTTGAGGTAGACGTCAGAAAGATTAGATGCTTGAAACTATAATTCAATGGTTTTTGTCTTGTTAGTTTCTTGTAATTGTAGGATGATATTATCCCTAATGTTATGCATTGTTGTTATTTTTTTCTTAGTTTTAGAACTTGTTCAAATTATTTTATGAATACAACCGTGCTTCTATTTGCAAAAGAAAACCTGGTTGTATCAATATCTATGCAATACAGAATCAGAATATGTGTGAGGTATGTGTAACTTTGACATCTTAATGTCATAATTCATCGTGAAATTACACAAGTTTGATATCATGTGTTGTTATTTTAATGAGATAATATATCAATGAAATTACATAGTATGAAATTAAAAACTAGTGTTAGTAATATATCAATGTAGTAATTCATTGTGAATTTAAACACGTTTATAAACATGTTTTGTTAGGTCATAAAAGAGAAATTTAAAGCCGGTTACATCCAAACTAGATTTTCATAGATAAAAAATTAAATTTAGTGTCGGTCGTGACTGATGCCAACAAAATATACATTTCAATAGTGTCGTCAAAAACCGACGTTACAGAACATGTATATGATAAATCACACCGCCTAGAACCGACACTATTATATTATAGTTAGATAGGGACATCGCTCTTAACCATACAAACTAAATGAAGACAACACTATAGTGTCTCCTTAAAATGACGCTACATAAATAAAAGTGTCAATAAAGTCGCTGCTAAACCTAAACATATTTCTACTCTAGCGTTGGTTTTTATGTACTAGCGTCACTTTATCGTTTTGTTTAGACGACGTTGTATTGAGAGTCGACTAACCGCTACATCTTGCTTCCATCTTAGTTATATAATTCATGTTCAAAGGTTAGAAAATCAGCTCACGCTTAATATGGAGAAATTTATATTTTGTTTTTATTTGCGTTTTCCTTTTTGAATTAGTACTATATATCCTCAATTTTCAATTTTTATTGTTTTTTACTATTCAATTAATTTTTAAATTAAAATAAATAATAATATATACATGTAAAATTATTAAGAAAAAGTCACTGAAAGAAGACAATCAAACTTTAAAAATAGTTAATAAAAAAGAAAGAGGTCATATTTAAATATGATCAGTTACTTTTTTTTATATTTAAATCTATTGATTAAATATGTATAAATTATTAAATTTTATTTTTGGTTCTTATAAAAAAATTGGCATGTTTTAATTCATACAAAATTATTATATATTTAGTTTTAGTTTCTGCTGTTAAATTGATGTGTATTTTTGAATGATTATTTTACAGACATGTTTAGAATATTATGAAAAAATCTTCAAAAAAAAAACTCAATAATTAATTTTTAAGTCGAGATTTTCATTGTTTTTGTCAATATTTTTTTAAATTTAAAAAATTCATATTTAATTCTTTTCATTTTAAAAAAATTCTAAAATTTAGTAAATAAATATTTTATAGCATTCTAAACACTTATGAAATAAATTATTCAAAATTTTAAAAATTAAAGGATAATTTAACAGTTTTTTAAATTTTAGAAAGTAACAGGGACTAAAACTGCATGAATAAAAATTTTATAACAACTAAAATATATCATTTTTTTAATAGGGGCTAAAAATAAAATTTAAGATATTTATAGAGACCAAAAACATATTTAATTTAATTTATTATTATGATCACTGTAACTTATTATGAAATTGATTTTGTCCATATACAAATTGAGATAGGATTTCTTTTTAATAGGTAGTTAATTATAAGTATTATATACTTTTATTCTAAATATTTTTATATTTAGAACAATATTAAAATATAAATCATAACTGATTTTTTATTAAAATTAATTTCTTATTAAAACATTTATATGCTTATAAATATAGTAAATATAAAATTATAGTAATTATAATATTAGTAATATCACTCATAATAATAATAATGAGATTTCATAATATATTGCATTTGCTTCCTTTTCCCCCTTAAATAGCCTCTGACAATGCAATGTTTGTCAAGCTTCGAAAATGAATATTAGCATAAACAATATTCTTGCAATCTTATGCATTGTTTTGTTCATCGTGAACTCAGGTAAGAAATAATTTCATAATGAAAAGTATTTCATAATAATTTTCTTTAGCTTTTTTTTTTTATGTTATACAAATTAATAATGCCATGAACGTTTGTAATGAGAGTATTTGGATTTGCAGGGGTGAGAAGTGAACAGGTTATTGTTGGCTCTAAAGTCTGCCCTGGTGGGTCTTGTCCAAATAATGGTGGATCTTGTTCCAAATTTTGTCAAGAAAATAGTTTTTCTAAAGGTGGAAATTGTATTGGAAATGTGTGTTGTTGCGATAAATAGCTCTATATTTATTAGATAATTGCTACTATTGTCAAATAGTGTATTTGCTTAACACTATCTACGAATAAGACTGTTATTTTCAGTACAGGAAAGTTGTAAAGTAATACAATAATTTATGAAATACAAGTTTATTATTTATGTATCTTTTAAATTTGAGATTTACAATTTATAATTCCTACCTTTTATTCGATGTGTGAGTTTATAGTCGTACTTACATTTTCATTTTGGTTACTTTTGTGTAAATGAAAGAGTATTTTTAGAATCAAACGTAAGGGTTGAGTTCCTTTGAAGAGATTCTTTAGGTTTAAAAACATTACAAATATTCTGGGCAGTGAGATTTATTAGAGAATAATTTAAACTTTGTCTCTTGATTATTCTTATTATCTTATTGTGGGTTGTGTAAAAAAAGTAAGAGATAGAAATTAGGGATTAAACTTAGAAAACATGAGAAGCTATTTTCTTTTAATATCTTCGTAGCTATTGTAATCAATCTTTTACATAGTGGACCAGATAGATGATTTGTCTTTTAGAACGAGATCAATTTCAAATCTTGATGTGTTTCTCTTTTTCTTTTATTCTTACTTTGTTTTTAATTGTGTTGGTGTACCACGTTAAGGAGTTGTTGTTATTGCTTGAAGCTGTTTTAGTTTGGTTGTCATTGTTATTATTTCATATAGACTATTATTCTTGTTGGTTTAAATACAAGTGTTGGATTTTCAAACACCCGTCAACGAGCCCACTCTGGAGCGATAGGGGTCAATATTTCAAGTAAGCACAATGAGTGCTAACTAGCCCATCAAGAATTTGTCGTCACACAACAATTTTGATTTAAAAAATATTCAAGACGTTGAATGGCGGGCCATTAGTGTTAGTTAGCCTAACACATAGAGAAGTCTAAGATGATGGATTGGAACATGATTTCTATTATTCTAGGCTTTAATGGTCATGTATTGAGTAAAATAATTAGTTTCATAATTTTATAATTTGTTAAATTTTGGTAAAATATAGTTTTATATAGATGTTGTGCAAGATGTTGAAACATCTTAATCAACTGTCATGACAGTTTAGCTGTTATGAGTTTCAGGTAGATGTTGAGACAAATATCGTGAGATCTTGATTTATGTACAACAGACGCTGTTGTTATGTATCTCTTGACATATTGAATTTGATTATGAGATCATTTTGGATATACTTCATCATTATGTGCAGGTCAAGGAGATTATTTAGAAACAAAGTGCAGATTTATTTGGATTTCTTAAAAAGGATCTTGGAGACTTTTTAGGAAGATTTAAAAAGATTTGTTCATATTTTTATATGAAGATCTGGTAGCTGATTAAAGACGTGGAGATTGAATCTATTTGAAGAGTCCAGGCCCATACTGCAAGTATCTATATATAAAGACTTGTTAGAACTAAAATAGCAAGCATTCACAACAACAAATTGTGGGTGCAACATAAGGGTTTAGGATTTTGGGAGTCTTTTTAGTTCTTTATGTTTGTGTTCTTTGTATGTTACTCGTGTATATTTTGATGCATTGAGTTGACTGATTGTTGCTTGTTTATCAAGTTATTATTCTCACTCATGAGCTTTTAAGCAAAGGGTTGGGTATTATTCTTAGTTAAGAGTCTTAACTAAGTATTGTAGATTGGAAGTGTAATCTTCTGTTTTGATACTAGTTACTTGGATTGTAACTAGTTTATTTATCATTGCGGTTATTGGAAATGAGAGGTTCTCATATCTAGGAGGTTCCTAGGTAGAAGTTGCACGGGGTAGTGATTAGGAGAAAAGTTGTAAACTACAATTGTTTAGACTTTTAACTAATACTATATAGTGATTTTCCTTCCTTGCTTGGTAGACCCAGAGTAAGAGACGTTGTGTCGAATTGGGTTAACAATTGATTGTGTTCTTTTACCTTCTGCAATTTAATTTTGCATTGTTTCTTTTTTTGTAAAAGTATTTTTCTGTCAACAGGTGATGTCATAACATATGTCTTGACATCTTGTTTTCGTGTTAAGACATAAGTTTTAACACTTTTCTAAAGCGCTAGAATTTCAATTAGCATCAGACCTGTCACCCTGTTCTAGTTATTGGGTGAGCTCCAGGGAGGTAGTTTCTACTACTATGGATAAAGAAGGAGGATATAACAATAAACCATCTCTGTTGGATGGTTCGAATTATGAATGATGGAAGGTTAGAATGGTGGAATTTCTGAAATCTATGGACAACAATGTTTGGAAGGTTGTTTTGAAAGTATGGAAGCATCATGTTTTGAAGGACGGAGATGGGAAAGTAGTCTCTTTAAAACTAGAAGAAGATTGGAATGATGAAGATGATAAATTAGCTGTTGGAAATTCCAACATTTTGAATACTCTATTCAATAGAGTGGACAAGAATGTTTTCAAGTTGATTAATACATGTACTGTAGCAAATGATGCTTGGGAGATTCTCATAACAACTTATGATAGTACATCCAAAGTGAAGGAGTCAAGACTACAGCTTCTCACTACTAAATTTGATAATATAAAGATGAATGATGATGAGATCATCCAGGAATATCAAATGTAGGTTCTTGAAATTAAAAATGCATCATGTTCCTTGGGAGAAAAGATGTCAGAAGCTAAGCATGTAAGAAAGATTATTAGGTCTCTACCTATAAAATTTGACATGAAAGTAATAACTATTGAAGAAGCTCAGAACATCAGCAGCATGAGAGTTGATGAACTTGTTGAGTCAGTTCAAACTTTTGAATTGTCTATTACTGACAAGACAGGGAAAAAGAACAAGAGCATAACTTTTGTATCTAATGCTGAAGATGAAGAAGGTCAAAGTGATATGGATACTGATGAGGGACTATCTAATACAATTGTGCTTCTTGGAAAATAATTCAATAAAGTATTGAAGATATTGGACAGAAAAGGAGACTAGATGTCAAGAACATCTCATATGACATCAGTAATAACATTGATTCTCAGAAGAAAACAAGAACTGAAGAGAAGTAATACAGAGGAATTCAATAATATGAGTGTGAAGGATATTGAAATTCTTGTATTCAGATCTCATATGTCCTAAAATATGTCAAGATACCTTTCTCTGAACAAACACATAATGGGAGGATGAATGATAAACAAAGTGCAGAAGAGTAAAGAACACACAAGATTATTAACCTAGTTCAGTGTACACGAATACCTACTTTTGGGGCTACCAATCCAGGGATCAAGTTAACTAAATTGTATCAATTCAAAGCTAAAATCCCTCGTTTACAACTTCTCACTTAATCACTATCGTTGCTTAACTTCTACCTAAGACTCACCTAGGTATGAGACCCTTCTCAAATCCCTTTCAATCATAATCCAGTGATTGACCAATTCTAAACACTTAGAAAAACAACAAAGAAGTCACACTTCAAAACACACAATCATTCACTTCTTAAAAGCTTTGGAATGACTAACAGAACTTACAACTCAAAAAACAGTCATACCCGCTCATCAATATGACAACCGAGAGGCTATCAACAAACACACAAAACCTAACACAATACAATTTAAGTTCGAAACTTGCACTATGGTTGAATCCCTCTATTTATAATCTTCAATAAACTGCATTTGGGATTCACATAGGCAGCTGGATATGATAGAGGCGCTGTAAAATTATATCCTCAAAGATAGGACATCAATCATTAGTTTCCTCGGTTATCTCCATAATTAGAAACTAATAAATCTCCTTGAAATCAGCTTCAATATTTTTAAATATTCAAACTGTGAGCCACATAGGATATATAATATATTATAGAATATTATGCATCTGTAACAAACTAAAAAATCCAAAAGTCCAATTGTAGAAACTCACGATATCGAAATAACCAGCATAGCACATCGCATTCGACATGTTTCTCCAGTTTATAGAACATCTTCATTCAACATGTCTAAGCTAAGTTAGTTTTACCAAACATAGTGTCTATCACAACAATCATAGAAATCACAATCTCCCCCCTTTTGCTTATTTTGGCTAAAACTACTTAGCACAACTTCCACATAAACAGAATAGCTCATGTTTGAGAATCACCTCAAACACACAATCAGAGACACGACAACAACAGAAATTCCGAAGTTAGGTAGAATTCTCCCCGTCAAAATAGTCAGTAGCAATCAGTTAGTTTATATACTACTCCCCCTTTTTAGCCAGAATATGACAACAATATAGTAACAAAAAAGTCAAGTGACACACAAAGTGCACAAAATAAGTTTGGGTAACATGACCCTTAATGATCCGAAAACCAAATACACACAAACAACGAATAGAAAAAGAAAAAATCTTGAGGAGTCAGATTATGCATCATCAAAATTTTCAACATCAGCAAACTCATACGTCTCTTCTTCTTCATCAGCATTGTCGCCACTAGAGGCACTCTCACCAATTTCATCATTATTTGAAGCCTCTAGTTCAGCTTGAGGATCTTTAGATCTTCCTAAAAAATTGTTAATCATAGTGGGAGAAAAGGTCACAGTATTGCCCCTAACATATACCTTCATTTGATCTTCACTCCCCATAAGATCACAACCATCAGGTATATTCACCACAAACTCATTCACCAGTCTATCATAGAAAGGGTTAAAGATTGATATAGTTTTCATTAGACCTTCCACCTCTATAAGCTTTATGACATCTTTGCATTTTTGAAAGTACTTTCCCAATTCTATTTCCAAGGATAATCTTCTTTGCACAACATTCGTCCATTTACTAGCATTTTCTTTAACATGAAAGATTACCCTATCCTCTATTATTTTGTGAACATCAACACAAGTCTTCTTAGATTCATACCTTTTGTTGGGAATGATGTCCTGGATATCCTTCTCAACATCAAAATCAGAGTCACTAGAACTCACAACTTTTCTATTTTTAGAGGGAATATCAACTTTGCTCCACGATTTTGAAGGACTAACTTGAGATTTAACCTTGACAGATTTAGAGGGAGTGCTCTTCTCATCACCAGGTTTCCTTTT